CCATCAAAATAAAGTGTTAGTAGATATTAAGCAGACAGTCTACCAATACTTTAATGACTGCTAGTTGACATGTAGTTGCAAAGTTATTTATAAGTACGTAGTTCAATGTCTAAAGTGGACTATCAAAATAAAGTGTTACCATAGGTTGCTGCACATTAATTTACATTTATGTCTCACAGAAAATCAGGGAAAATATGAGAGGTCTTGAACATGCTGGAACATTATTTTGTCAGGAGTAAATTGGCTCAAAGGTCAGAAAAAGACACAAAAACACATTGTTTTGTCTCTTCAAAGTAGGTGAGACATCAGAGTGTTCTCCCCAGAGAAAGTCTCATCATTTATCAGTTTCATTGTGATTTAGTTTCTTCCAAAGAATGGAGCTGTGATATGGTGACTGAGTGAGGAATGCTTTTTCACTAATCTAATGAATCGGGACTTGTGTACACTTGTAAAAATCTTCAAAGTTTCAGTTTTCAATGGGCCAGTCAGCTTTGAGCTCCAAACTAGGTTCAACATTATTGAAATAGGTGAATTTCTTTATTTGCTACTGTATTTGGGTGGTTGTTAGGTGGTTTCTACATTGCTCTTCATTTTGCAATCGAGTGTCAATCTGTCCAAGAGCTGTCGACACAGGTTACGTTCCTCTGTTGTTTCCTCTGTGTGTGTGCGTTTTTTGCAATTGTTGGTCTACGTAGTTCACACCAAAATGAAAATTTAGTCAAAATGTACCTACCCTAATGTCATTCCAAACCTGAATGACTTTCTTCTTTGGAACAAAAAAAGAAGATATTCTAAATAAATATCACCAAACCGTTTTGGTGACCATTGGCCTCCATTGTATGGTGGGAAGAAAAAAAAAACACATACATTTCTCCATGAACTTTGTGAACTATCCCTTTAAGATACATACAGAGAAATGTTCTCAAAGCTATTACATTAATAAACCCATGAATATATGAATCTAGTATTAAATTAGCAGCTACCGTTCATAAGTGCTTGCACATTTAATTTAATATGGTTAAGTGTTCCTTTGATTTCAGGATTTTTGTGATTTCAAACTGTCTTATGTATAGCCTGTATGAGCATTTTATCGACCATCTTCAGCCCTGCTCTCGGTATTCATAACATTTGACCATTAATCACTGTGATCCAGGTATACAGTTGATGCGTATGTGCTGCAGCCATCAGATATTCAGAAGACTATCAGCTCAGTTCAGCACTAGTGGAGACGAGCTGTCCTCTGTGCTTTCGCTTCAGTCATGTGCTGTCCACAAGGTTTAAAAAAAAAAAA